CAAGATTCCTGCTGAAGTTGTTGTGCTTGATGCCTGTTTGGCTGATTGGTGGCCATGCCAGGTGATGCGAGACATGGTCATGGAACGAACTCACAAAAACGTTCTTGTTGCCAGCAATGCTGCAGATGCTATTGACGCTGCGCAGACGCCCAGCTCTATCCTTGAAGGTCTTTTCTGTTAGGAGACTCCAAGGTTGGACTGCGCAATTGTCCTGACTATTTCTGAGTATTTTAGTCCGGGAATGCTCAAAGAACTTGAAGCGTTTTGCCAAAGGACAGCTCATTTCCTCTTGGTAGTGCTCACGGCCGGCATTCTTCGTGACGAGGCGTTCCTGGACATTTTGGAGGCAGCGCGCAACGGGCACTTTCCATAAATCTTAGACTGGGGGCAAGTCTTGTGGCTGTCGAGCTGTGCACTAATGTGGTTACGCTATATCGGTTCCAGATCGAGGAAGGAGAAACCCGAGGTAACTAGTCCTTCACCTTTGCAAGAATTCGTCTTGTGATGCAAGATCCACTCAAGCACTGGCACCATGTAACAGGCACTGGACAAAACCTATGCAGATGACCAGCTGGAGATCGTCAGCGCTCTGGCAGACCCGCAGTTTGAGTTTCCGCATGCGGAGTATTATCAGGCTTCTCAGCGGTCAAAGTGCAGCACACTGAAACGTCATCGCGGCTGACCCAACAGTTGAAGCTGCCATCATCAAGAAGCCAGCTTCAGAGTGCTTCCGCACACCGTTTGTGCCAGCAGGATATCAGCAAGCGGGGGCAACAGATTGCCAAGTCTGCGCCCTCCTGAGACAGCAGTGAGGTAAGCTCGTGGCATCCAGAACAAAGCAGGGGCTATTTTTGTGTTGACTCTCATTTGGTGGTTGTTCCGCTCAGGTTAAACGTGTGCTGAACATACTGGCACTGCCGTTCTCCCCGCTGACTTCCATCAAGGCTGGTCATGAGCGAAGTAGCACCCGGGCTTTTGCGGCACGCTTGGCATGCTTGGCCCTTTGCAGGTGATGCAAGCTCAGGCCGCTGGTTGCTAGCAGGCTTCCAGTTTGAAGCAGGAGAGGTTGGTAGGGTTTGATGTGTGCAGGTGAACGAGATATGCCGGCGATTCCGCTTCCAGACAGAAGACTACTGGCGAGAAGCTGTACGCGTCCCACAGCACTGTCTTGATGAGGTGCGCCATGTTTGTGTTTGCCCACTCCCAGTTCTGGAATGCTTCTATGTTGTTAGGTCGCGGAGGGCGAGACAGGAAAGTCTACTCAATCCACATCTGGCGAGAACGATGACTCGGCTTCCTTGTCCCAGATCTCGCTTTCACGGTCGCAGATTTCTGCTTCGCCGCTGCGCGGGCTTTCCCCGATGGATTCAAAAATGTGGCAGTCACATGCTCAGATCATCATGTGGTGCATAATCAGTATGTGTCTTCATGTGGGGCTCACTGAGGGAGAGGCTGTAAATGGCTCACTTCAGCAACGATCCCCGCCTGGCTCCCAGCTTGGGCCATGAGGACAGGCCACGATGGCCTTGCGAATACACTCTCGCAGCTGGGATGTTCACAGAGCTGTGCAGCTTCAACATCCGAGGTGGGATATCGAATGTGAGCGGTAGGTAGCTTGCATAGCTTTTGGGAATTTGGTGGTGCAAATCCCCACTTCTCAGCAAGAAGAGGCTTTTCCGGTAGCTTCTCCAGAGGAGAGCTGCATTTGGCTTAATGAGCCAAGCATCTTCAGCTGTGTCCCATTTTAATCTCATGCAGATGCTCGACTGCAGAGTAGTACAACTCTGAAGCGAAGCGCTGGCATGGCTTAGAGTTCCTGCACAGTGAGCGTCACATTTACCGCGCGAAGGTTGGGCTGGCAAAGTCTGTGGGTACGTTAAAACCGTGGTGACAAGTACAAATTCAGGATCCAGCGCTTGGGACTTTGGCGAACATCATGTTATTTCCACCAGAGCTCCCTTGAAAGCAGCGCAGAGCCTCTTCTTACTGGAGCCCGTGGAGCCAGAATGTGATCGTTTATCCCTTACATGTTGAGAATGTGCGACCCAGATCTTTTTGTTAGGGGTTTGTGTGGCCAGCTTGGGACCGAACTCCTGACGTAGAAATCTGGGTTCTGGGAAGTAAGTGTCGTGTCGAACAGAGTAAATGTGACCCTTGCGCCATGTGTGGCTAACCCTATCAGGAGACCGCATCTTCGAAGCGAAGTGTTGCATTCTATTGTAACGTTGACTGACTGTAGCCTTGCACCTCAGTTCTTTTCCTTGCTTCGGGTCCCTGCCTACTCTCGATGAGTGCGATGCCACACACTGGTGTTACGGAAAATCGTCTGTGCAAAGCATAGGCTTTAGGCAGAAGGCTGATCGTACTACTTTGGAACAATGCGCCAAAGTTCCGAAGTTGTTCCGCTACGCGGCACTGGTAGGACAGGCAGAGAAAGGAAATTGCGATTTGCAAGGTGGAGCCGCCGAGGGGACAACGGCACCTTTTTGAACGTTCTGTCCACCTAAATGGAGGACTTTCAACTTTGATGCGATCCTGCGTGCGGGACAGACTCGAGATAGACCTCTGCTTTTTGCTTTGGAGAAAGTGCCGTGCAACATCAGCTTGTGCTGTTCGAAGGGAATTAGAACCTCATCTGGACAAGCCCGCAAGGGCAAATTTGCCGTCTGCCCATCAGGAAGGATGCGGAAAATTCCGAGCAAATCTGGCAGCGGACGGGCTTGCGCCGCAGACGACAGAGCAGGAATCGTGAAGAACGAATCCTAGCTAGTAGTCTCTAAGGAGCACTTTCAGCGGCACTGCCCAGCTTGATGCCAACACTTGTGGGGCACCTGGCTTCGCGTTTGGCATAGCCACAAGACTGGCCAAGCATCGGCAACTCTTTTCTCACTTGCAAAAGCAGGCACCCCCAAATTGTACCGTACTTGAAGCAAGCCCGTTGCAGTGTAGCCCGACGCAAAGCCCGTTCGGATGACCGCACATGTTCCCAGAGAGTTGGGCATTCTCTTACAAGGCGTGTCGTTCCAAGCTTCGCGAAACGTGGAAGCAGGTTGCTCTCGTTCAGCTGCTTGCTTGGTAAATTTCGAAATCCTGGAGCAGCCAAGACTGCGTAAAGCGCAGGTGACCAGCTGCCAGCGGCTCAGCCGTCTGTGACGCAAGGTGAAGGGTCTCCGGAAAATGTGCTCACGAAAGGCAGACGGTATCGGTGGTGGAAAGCACAAGCCGGGATTCAATCCGTTGCCCTGTCTCACTCCTCAAGGCCTCCTACCCGGCCCACGTGCTAAGAGATTTCACACAGCCGACATTGCAGAGACTCGTCTTTGCAGGCACACATGCCCGGGCTACTGCACAAGCTCGTGCCGGCATCTGCCACAGACCAGTAGTGTAAGGAATGACAGTTGCGCCTTCAGCTCCTTGTGTCCTTGTGGCTACTGGATCGGCTGTATTCTGCTTGGCAGCCGTTAGCTGTTCTTGAAGGGTTTTGCTTCCCTGCGACCGTTTGCTGCAGGCGCGCTCACTGTAGAACTTTCCGTAGTCTTTCAAAGCTGCATAGGAACCTTGGGTTCCAGGTTGGCTTAGCTTGGAGGACCATTTTGAGGACTTTTGACAGGAATTCCTCTCCAGGGGGTCGTCCATCGGGTCTGCTGGCCTATGGGTCATCCTTTGAGCCCCTTCTCCTGATTATCTATGCTAGCCTAGCCTTGCACCGTATCGTTGCTATACTATCTTGCTCTAACACATACTCCGAGTAATACTAATGGAAAATTATACTAATACTAATAGTATTATTCTATACCATATTATCCTAGACTATACTTTTCTAGACTCTGTGTGATATTGTGCTTTCCAGTGCTTTATATCATCCATCCTGTGTTATGAGTACTGTAGTTCAGTGCAATCGGTGGTATCTCTACGAATGACTGCTCTCACGACGCCTTGTACATATGGCTATTCTTTCCATTTCTTCTACAAGACGTATTACGTCATCACTACAGAAAACTACACGTACTGTTTGAAAAGCCCTCGCCATACTTGGTATCGCGCATATTGTTCTGCTATTCTGCTATATTTGCTACAGGCTCGAGCTGGTACGGCTCCTGCTCCTTTTAGACGTGCTGTAAGTATTGTTGCTACTACTTTCCTTCGCTTCGGCTAAGCCAAGCCGCCTAAACTTGGAAGAGTTGTTATGCTACAACCTTTTTTTCTTCTCTTACGATTCAATGCTGGCAGCGATCGTTGTTACGTTTGCTAGTACTGTGGTGTCAATCTTGCTCATCCTGTTTTAGCCCCATTCCGAGTACCTTTCTTGTTCTTGCCGTTTTATGCGTCTAGCCCAAAAAAGTGAGTTGTAGGAGTACCATGCTGGTGACAATTTTGCGCTTCCAAGTTCAGAGCAATTCCAAGTGCTGCTTTTTGCAGCATTGTGAGATTGGTCTTTTGGATTTGGAGCCTGCAATCTGGTGCGGATATTTCTTCTCGCAGAATTTGCAGGTTTACTTCCAAGCGTTGCGCGCTGCAGTATCTGAGGCCTCCCCATCCCCTCCCCATGGGCACAGAAACGTTCCACTCTACAAAGACAATCTTCAAATACTCGAAAAGAATCTTCAGCTTCTTGGAACCACTGGAAGGCCATGCTTTCGACGTTGCGACGCCTGGGCACCGGGCGTCAAGTGGCTTGTCCAGGGTTTTGACTTGTCACGGCAACGACGCACCAAGCCTCCTGCAACGTTTGCTGTGCAACATAGTATAGTAAGGATAGTATAGCATAATTCAAAACATTCTAATATTATATTATATAATCCATTTTGGTAGTATACTGCTGTCTAACTGGCCTCGCAAAGGATGCCTTGCAACTCAATCGGCAAAGATCGTGTCATGCAACCCTTCTTCCACAAAGCTCAGGTGGCCCTAGCCATACGAAGACCTTTACATTTCAAGACTCTTGGGAGGTCTTGGAAGCTTTTTGTGTGACCTCGAGGGCCTACTTACGTAACTACCAAATGATTGGATCCTTAGCTCGCTGCTGCTACTTTGGACAAAGGAGCCGTTCAGGCTTACGGTTCTGCAGTGGTTGCTCTGCGGCATTTACATCAAAACTTTGCTGCTCCTGCAACCAACTGCGAGAAGATCAGTTCTGCCACCAAGGACAGGGTAAGCCGCCCAAAGGTTTCGAGGGCTTCTTCAAAGGTAGAAGTGCCAAGGAGGCCAAGGGGAGTGGATTTGCATCTGCATCATCTGCTGCCTCTTACACTTACACCCATCCATCCAAGGCACCTGCACCTGGCTTTGGAGATCTCAGGTTGAGTATACGAATTTGCCTATGATGTCATCTTAAGTCAGCTAAGTTTGGTTTAAGCTGCGCCTGCCTACAGACAAGGGCATGAGGGCATGGTGTGTATCTGCGTGGATCGTGTGAGGGGTCTGCATTCCGCGTTTGGGTAGAGACCAAAAACAACCTAAAATGAAACAAGCAGGCGACTGGCCCGCAAGAAAAAACGCTGGTGTTCGGCGGCTGCCGGTAGCAAAGCAAACCTGCATGTTTAGATAAGAGCGAAAGAACAATTCTTCAGCCTTTTCAGAGCAACTACTGCACTATGATTTCTGCATGCCATGGTAAGCAAAACCTTGCCGTTAGAGAGCAGTATTTTCGTTTGGACCGGGATCACTGGTTCGTTTTTCGACGCAGCGTCTGTCTGGCGATTCTGGTTTGGGACAGGGTGGCAAGACATGCTTGGTCGCATTTGGGTCTGGGGTACACATGCAAGTGCCATCTGTGTTCCGTGACCAACGAAGGTAAGAGCAGTCAAAAGCGAGTTGCCTGTTGCAGCTTGTCTTTTTTCTGCTCTGCTCACATGCTCCCGTTGCTGGCGTCCAGGTCTGTGACTCGTGTGTATGTAGTCCGGTAACCTATGAAAGATAAGCCACATTCCTGGAGCAAAGCAGGCTGCGAAACCAGCTGAAGCCGCAAAGGCAGCTTGGTCGGCATTTGCAATTTAGGCCATGAATCATCAGAGTCCGCGAAGCACCAGGCACAATTTTAGCTAAACTGTCCTAGCCGCCAGTTTTGGTACAGGTGCAGCTGACTGTCCCATAAAGTGCCTTGCAATCTTGACATTGTCTGTGTGAGGAGAACGGGGCAAGCAAGCCTCTTGGCAAAGATTCCAGTAGTTGTGGCTGTATGAACGCATCAGGTGCACAAAATCAGCATACGCAGCTAGGGGATCGATTCTGTGCTGTGCTATAAATGGAGCTGCAGAGTTCCAAAAGAAACTGGCAAGCCGCAGCATCTGGCGGTCATGTGTATTGGCATTTTTTTCAGCCATTGAATCTGACGCCGAGGAGAGGCCCGAAGGAGACTCCAGACACTTGGTATCTAAACTGAGGTGAGTAGCGAGATGATTCTCTGAACCTTCACTCGGTTGCTTTGGAACCTTGGCCTCGAGCCTGCAGAATGAGGAGAACCCAAAAGCTGAAGAGGTGAGCAAGGAGAAGCCGCCCAGCATGCACTGAGCTGTGGAATGTATCTGCTTATATGTTCCACTGACAAAAGTTCTTGGCAGAGTACCAGGAGTCTCATGCCAAGCTATGCGTCTCATAGCTTCTCTGTAGGGAGCAGTAGTCCTGCCTGAGGCAAGGTGGCCCCAAAGAGCACACGGCAGCTTGGTCTCAACTGGAGGGCAAAGACCGCCCAACATTTTTCCCAACTTACACAGCCCGGTCCAGTGTAGACTGTAGACTCCGCTTCCCGTGGCTCTTTCCGTAGCCTACATCTATGTTTCCAGCCGCTGTGTTGGCGTCCATTGCACAGAGCCAAACTGATGGAAGAAACGCGGAGTGAAGAGCTTCAATACCCTTACCCCCTGCACATAGGCCAAAGAAGAAGCGGGCAAGGACAGAGCCGAAATGGAAGGAGTGTCGAGCAGCGAAAACTTGGAGAAGAGTTTTCTGATGAGATCTGCGTAGTAATGCCGTTGAATTGAACAGCTCTTGAAGGAAAAGAAGGGCCCGAGAAGGGGAAGGACAACAAGGCTGCGGCTTCTGAGTTCTTGGGTTAGTGATATTATGCTTGACTGGTTTTTTCAGGAGTCTCCAGAAGCACAAAGGCCGCGTTAGCAGCCCTTACAGCTGTTGTTTGGCTCGTTTGCATGCTTGTCGACAGATGTTCGTTGATGGTTCAGTTTTTCATTGCATATGGGGCCAGCACCGTGCTTTCCACAGGATTCGAATGATGGTCCTGGCAGCTGGAGGCAGAAACAGCTTTCACACCCTTGCGCTGGGCCCTGGGCATTGTTGAATCGGTGGATGGCTGCTAGCGACCAGGAGCGTTGGCATTTGGTTTGTCCTACTTCCTGGCTGGCGAAGCGGAAAGCACGGGTCAGGAGGCGACTGGTACTTCAAGTTTCTGAGCAAGAAGTAGTTCCAGGCAAATTCCCTTTTCATGCAGCTGCTGGCTCAAGTCGAGAGGTCTTGCGAACGTTTCATCTCAGGGACGTGTTGCGGCCTGCCTGCGAAGGCAAAGCAGACTCCCATTGCGTCACACATCATCTTTTTCGTTGTGATGTCGTGCCTGTTAGAAGTCTCAATTAGCCTTGTGTCTCGAGACCGGCCAGAGCTGTTGGACCACGCTTTGGGCTTGATTGACATGCAAGACTACCAGAAAGAGCTGCTCGAAGTGGTGCTTGTAGACTCTTCACAGCCACCATTGGAAGCGTTCATTCGTGGGAGATGGGAGCATCGCGCCCTTTTTCAGAGAATACGGTATTTTCATCTTCCAGAGCCTCGAACAATCGGTGAGAAGAGGAATTTTGCTGTGCGAGCCGCACAGGGACTTGTTGTTATACAGTGGGATGATGACGATTACTACGGCCCCACACGGTTGCAGGCTCAAGTTTGGCCGATTCTCCGAGGCCTAGCATCATGCACAGCGCTGGTCTTCGACACGTGGTATTTCCTGGAATCCGACGAATTTTGGACTGGTCCCCCTGAGGAGCTGGGGTTTGGACTTAGCGGTGGTCACCCAGGAACTCTAGCTTTCAAGCGATCACTGTGGTCAGCAGAGGATGCAAATCTGCAGTACCCGTCCACCAACTTTGCAGATCCCGACGACTTTCATTCGGCGTTGGTTGATAAATTGCGGGCACACACTGAAGTGATCCCGCGACAAAGGGTGGACTTCGTATATGTACGTCACCAGCATGCAGCTGCTGCCGCGGCCGGGGGCCTAAAGCTGGGACTCGAGGAATGCTTTCTGGGCATCTACTACGAATTCTTGGCTGTGCGTGCCTTCGGTTCGCGTACTGCCCCACCCAAGTTCTTGCCAACAAGCACCTGCCGGCTTTGGGCGCAGATTCGGTGTTCAAGACCCTCGCCCTACACGGGCATTGCTTACAAACAAGGCCAGCATCCGATGGCTCAGCTAGGCAAGTGTACCTCGACTGCCATCAAAATCCTGCATGTTCACCTTCAAGAGCTGCCTGAAGATGACCTCATGACTTGGCTTCACGGGAGCACTCAGGACGGCTCCAGGCGGCGCGCATTGATGAAGGATGTGTTTCTGAAGGATGTGATTCCGGCCCTGGTTGCGCGATTGAAGCTGCTCCCAGAACAGTTTGACAGCGCCACTTACATGGAGGCCTGGAATATTTGCATGAAGCTCCGCAGCCACCCGCGACTGGGTGGGAAGTTTCGTGCCATGGCCGAAGATTTCTTGGATTCGCAGCTCCAGCCTTGCCTCAGCGACCTCAGGGTGAAAGAAGATGGGGAAATCTGGCAGTTGGTGGACTGAATTTTTTGTCGGACAAGACTTGAACAAGGGAGGAGTATCAATCTCCGGCACCACCAAACGAAAGGCCAAAGCATGGCCAAAAGTGCGCTGGACCTTTGCTGGGACATGGCGAGGCAAGCTCCCGTGATTGCGTTGGATGGGCTCCTTCAACTGACGGTTTCCGTCAAGGCTTCTGAACCGCTGAATCCCAGAGAGCTGCAGAAGAGCGCGATGAGAGCAGAAATTGCTGAGACTCTGCCCAGGATGCCTGCCACCTTCAACCGAATGTGGCCCGAGTTGAACGTTTCATCCGTAGGCTCTAGACTCTAGACTCTTTGGACTCTAGATTTGCATACCTTGCCATGTTCTGAGGTTCTGACATGCGCCACCCCACCATATCCCTAGAAGCTTATATCCCGAGAAGCTAGGCCCCAGTCGCATGGTCATTGGCTCGGCGCAGGTTACAATGCAAGAAATGCTTCGAGAGTACCTCATGAAGGGCAAGGTGGAGAAGATCCAGCTTCTGGGCTTTACGTAGACGTGCTGCTCATTGACTTGCCTTAACGCGCGCTGCGGAACCGCTCAGGATTGTAAACCAGGGCCTGGCGCGAGTGTACTTGCGCAAGGACACAGCTGGGCCGGAAGTGGTGACCATCAATTTGGGCCGGCCCGAAGCTTTTGAGACGAAGTTGGAGAACCCCGGCTCGAGAAGCTGCAAGCCTGCTTCAAGTAGCTGTTTGCTTTGCTTTCTTGGACGAGTGTTGGGCGAGTTCGCATCGTGGTTGGCTGAGGAACGCTCAGAATGAGCTTGGCATTGCTCCGTTGGAGCACATTCCAATTCAATACGTGTATGAGACGCCCGCATGCACGAGTAAGTTCATCGCACAGTTGAGCAAGTAATAGCTGTCTATGAACATAGGACGAACTATCTTGGCGAGATCTTGCCATACGTCCCATCCCTCCTGTTCTTGCTTCCGCTCCTGTGGGTGAGCAGGACTGCTTTTTCGCAAGCCGAGTTGCAGTCCCTTCTGGGCAGTTTCGTTTGACAACCTTGAATTCAACTATTGTAAAGAGAGGAGTCTGGGCAGTGGCTTGCCGGGAGCTGGTGGCCCTGGAGGGCGCAATGTCTTCAGCATGGGAAAGGTGCTGGCAACATGACAGGGTCAAGTAACTAAGAAAACATTATTTGCAAATCATGAAGCTTGTTCGTGCAGGCATTTCCGTCGCAGAAGAAAGATGTGAAGTCAAAAGTGCGGTTCGGTGACGTTGCCGGCCTGGAGCAGGCAAAGGCCGGATGTGCAAATCCGGGCTTCGGCCGAGGATGCACTTACAACAGGCTTTGGGTTGTTGCGAAGTTCGAGCGCACAGCACGGCAGAGAATCGCAGGCAGAGGTTGTAGAGTTCGTGGACTTCCTCAAAAGCCCAACCAAGTACGAGAAGCTTGGGGCGCGTGTGCCCAAAGGCACGTAGCAGAATCATGGCTTCGATTTGGCTTCTTGCTGACCACCCAACGCACCCAATGGCAGGTGGGCTCTTTGTGGGACCGCCTGGCACCGGGAAGACTTTGCTTGCCAAGGCTCATTGATGCTCTGGGAGAGCGGCAGACTGCTAGCTAACTAAGTGACAGGCTGTCGCGGGAGAGGCAGACTGCCCATTCTATTCCATGCATCCCGACAAGCATGAAAGCACGCGTATGGATCTAGAGCGTTTCAAGACAGCGTAAGGCACGCCTTGATTCTGACTAAGGAGCGGCTCTGATTTCGTGGAGATGTATGTTGGTGTGGGTGCATCCCGCGTCAGAGATCTTTTCAAGCAAGCACGGGATTCCGCACCTCTGCACAAGAGTTGGCCGTGCCAGGGATGGCTCGACATGGCGCCATCATCTCAATGCCTTCATGAGACCACAGCCCTGCTGTTCCTTCCAGGCGCCATCGATCATTTTCATTGATGAGATTGACGCGATAGGGCGGAAGCGAGGAAAGGGTGGCTTCACAGGTGGAAATGATGAGCGCGAAAGCACGTTGTACTTTGGAAGCTCTTAGCATCATTCCTGATTCACCTGTTGACCAAAAATGGGTCTGCCGTTCAGGGATGAATCCATTGATCCGTTGTCTGAAAGTTCATTGCATTGCGGACAAAGCAAAGGAACCAGATGCTGGTGGAGATGGATGGCTTCACGTCTTCGACGGGTGTGGTGGTGCTGGCAGGCACAAACCGCGTGGACATTCTGGACAATGCGCTGCTGCGGCCTGGACGCCACCTTGCAGAAGTCAGTTGCTAAGGGCTGGACGCCAACCTTGATCTTAAGAACCTGCAGGTTTCGACCGGCAGATTGCCATTGACAAGCTTCCAATCCGCACTTAATTCTCACACGTTCTCGCATCTCTACATAGCGGTGGGGTGGGTGCAACACATAGCTTCTCCTCAGCTTCCAACTCTTCCACGGCAAGGCCAGACATGGCAGAACGCGAAAAGATTTACATGGTCCACCTGAAGCCAGTAAAGTTAGAGCCGCTTGTCTCAAGAGACTTCTCTTTCAGGCGGAGTGCCCGCTTTGTCAGCTTTGTTGCAATACCAAGGGGCAACCTGAAGCAAGAAGATATTGCAAAGCGAATGGCAGCTTTAACGCCGGGGTTCGCAGGGGCCGACATTGCCAACGTTTGCAATGAGGATCGCCTGCCGACCAGATCCCAACAAGCTGCTGAAAGTCTGATTTTTGGACACGCAGCTGTCGTAGACAGTCTTGCGTTGCTCCACACGAATCACAGACTGTGGTAGAAGTATAGAACAAGAACAGTTTTTGCAACCCCTTCCGACGTCAGTGCAGGCGGCTATTTTTGCTGCTCGACGAAAAGGCGATTCCGTTACAATGGATGATTTTGAGCGTGCCACCGAAAGGGTCATCGGTGGGCTGCCAAAGACCAACAGCCTTATGACGCCCGGAATGCAATGATTGCCCGAGAGACCCTAGAGGCAGAGCGAACAATGCCTCATAGTTGCTGAGTGCGTCCGCCAAGGAGTGCTGAAGACAAGCGGACAGTCGCTATCCACGAATCAGGGCACGCTGTGGCAGGCTTCCTTAAGAGACTGAACCCAAAGCTGCTCACTGAATCCCCGTTCCAAGTTGTCAGGCTGGTTCCTGGAACACGCAGATCCACTTCTCAAAGTCTCCATACAGCCGCGGTCCAGTGGCGCGCTTGGCTTCGCGCAGTACTTGCCCGCCGAGTTCAGCCTGTACTCGAAGGATTGGGGTTCCAATGGTTCCCCGTCCCGCGAATGCAAGTGCAAATGTGGGTGTTGTAAGAGCTTGAGTAAGACGCTTCACATCCCAGAGCTGATGCAATGTGTCGCGTGTTTGCTTCTACTTTGGCAGGAGGCAATACTTGACAAGATTGTAGCTTGGCTTGGTTCAGCTGCGCTGCAATACAGCAGGGTTTGGCTTGGTCTAGATGGCAGTCATGGCCAAAGTGTGGCCAGCAAGAGCGTTGCGTTGCTATCGAGCAATACCCTTGACAATCATAGTGGGTCAAAATCACCAGTGACGGTGCTGCTGCTGATGCTGGTGGTGCTGCTGCTGCCGAGCTTCTGCTCCCCCGCCCCCACCGCCACTACCGTTACGTGGTTGTTGTCCTTGTTGCTTTGAATGATCCTTGGCATTGTTGTCGCTTTCATTCCACGAAATTGTTGACCGCAACAGCAACAGAAAGTACTAGTCACAAAGTAGATGCCGTAGTAGAAGTAGGAAGGAGTAGGAGGACGAGTTGTAGTGTGGTAGTGGTAGTATCTGAAGTAACGGCAATAACAACAGTTGCGATTGGATTGTTTCGCGTGTAAGGCCGTGTCACTGGGCGGCAGAGCAGCTGAGGAGCTCCATTAGCAAGTGCCATGAAAGGGTTGCAAAAGACACTCTGACCCACATTTCTCAGGAGCTATTTGTTGGGAAAATTTCCACCGGTGCTTCCGATGACTTAGACAAGGCCTTTGATTTAATTATGGTCCCCAAGAGGTTCAGCATGAATGTTACGTCAGAACTCGAGCTAGCAGTCTTACATTGCAGGTCACAAAGATGGCGCACGTCGCTTGGCAGCAAGATTCTGAACGCTGAAATCATCCAAATAAGCCATAGGCAGCACTATTTTTTCACACACACACACACACACCCTTTCCGATCAGTACATGCTTTGGAATTCTTGCCAGGTTGGTAGGGCCAAGTTGGGTTGTCACCCCAAAAGCAGGGCGACGGTGTGTGAAGCAAGGTCTTGAGAAGGCATGAAGCATTTCCGACGCACAGTTTCATTCGCATGCACATAGACTTTCTAGTTTTGCTCTCTTAGCGTTTGGCCCGCTTGATAAGCAGCTAGGGGCTGAAATTTGGCGGGCTCTTTCGCACTGATAGCAAGAGTCACCCCCAGTTGGGATAGATTTCTCGCAATTCCTGTTTCATGTTTACATGATTCTCCGTTGTTGGTTCCTTCTGCTCAGCTGATTAGCATTGAGATGATATCCTCATTGACCCCAGCAATGGAGATGCTGTAGAATGATCCATCAAGATTCGCAGACGATGAGCAAACAGGAGGGTGAGGAAAGGTACTGTGTGGAGACTGAGGCCATGGTAGCTATTTATGGCATGTCGGACAAGATCGGTCTCCTGAATTTTGGCCAGAATGATGCCAGCTCACAGTTTTACAAGCCATACAGCCACTCGGAGCGGGACTCAACATTGTCAAGTTTTGCACGGAAACAGTGTGACATGAGGCGAAGCAACGGGACAGATGATCGACAAAGAGACGCGGGAAGTAGTGGACCAGCAGTATGAGAGGGTGAAGAAGCTGCTGCTGGAACACCAGGCTGGGGTATCAGACGTGCATGGCTGCCGGGTCTGGGGCCATGAGCTGCACGTATGGGACGGTCTCGTCAGATGCCAGCGTACAGCTCTAACAATCCCTGCTGTCTCTCTCTCTCTGTCTCCGTCTCTCTCTCTCATGTCATCACCCTTGGCAATGCGGCATGTGCTGTTTCTGACTCCTAGGAGCCGCAGCTAGCTTGGTTTTGAGAGCTTCAATTTCGCCCACCCTGATGCGCATAATCTATCCTCAACGCACTGCTGACAAGAGGCGAAGCTCATGGAGCTCACCAAGAGATTCTAAGCTGAATCGGAACTCAAAGTTCATCCTTGCCGCTGTGCGTGCTTTGCTGAGGACTTGATGCCAAAGAGACTCTGGTATACAATGAACTCGTTGAGGCTGGGAGTAAGTAGAGCCATTGAGAAAACCCAGAAAACATGCTGCACCCACTGTAGCAGTAAGTTCAACAACCAAGGTTTTGGGAGAGAGACCATATGAAATGAAGCATCCGAGTCCGCATTAAGTTCACAGTCCTTGAACTGATGAAGTTCGTGTAGGCTGTTGGCCTGATTGTTCAGGAAAGAAATCAGTGGCTTCGTGACTGCGGGTGCGAACCCCTTTGCAACTGAAGAGGCGACTGAGGAGAAGACTGACGAAGGCTGCCCGCTCACCTGTAGCAAAATCTACTTGGAGACAGCAAAGCACCAAATCGGCAGGCCCTCCCAGCGGTGGTGATGGCCCGGCGACTCCTGTACTGCAGCCTGCGTGAGACCGCGGATGCTTCGCAATGTTCTCAGTGCAGGCGAATGCTTAGCAATATTTAAAAGTACAGCGCGCCGCGTCGCGCCCCCATGAAGTAAACATTGTCAGATCAGTTCCAGAGCTGAAGATCCAGAAGAGCCTGTCGGCTTTTGATTTGTGAAGAATCTTTAGCTCTGGAGATCATGCTTCCTTGTGTCGTGCAGGTGTTAAAATGGTGCATTTGCTGGTCGGAGGCCTCGAACAGAGGCGTCTCACCTGCCTCCCTGGCATCTGCCAAAGTCCTTTGGAAGTCATAACAAGCTCCGACCTTTTGGGGTTCCCAGGCGCCAAAGCCCCGTGCAAAATGTACATTGTTGGGCGCTGGTGGCGAGAGCCCTTGATTTTCTGCGGCCCCGCATTGTCCTGAACGGCCTCTGAAGCTCCGATTAAGTCAATTGTAGCTGCACCTTGTGCCTTCCCACCCTTGTGGACGTCAAGCTCGTTGCGAGGTCAACGCTCGGTGCCGCAATCCGCCCCCCAACTGCTGCGTACTAGCAGAATGCTATCATGCATGTGTTGGGCCATGGTGAAGGACCATGTTTGACGACCTGCTGAGTTTTGCTGTCCTTCTGTTGCATAGACTTAAACTCAAGACACAGGCACTGAATCACGACGTGTGAAGCCGTGCTTCAGCAGATTGGCAAGGATCAATTTCAGCGAAGCCGATGGTACAGATGCAGATGCGCATGGCAACAATGAAAGCTTTGCTGTACATCATATAGTGATTTGGTGGCTAGCGGTGTACGAAGCTCGGCGTGCACTTGCAGCGCATGTGATTGTCATTTTCCAAGGTGATGGAGTCAGAAGAGCTGTTGAAGGACTGCCTTCGCCTTACTTCGGATGCCTCTATTAGGATAGGGCTTTTGGAGAGCCATGGCAAAATTCTTTCTGACATGTGATGTCTGCCCGTTCCCCCATGATTTCAGGTCCGCTGGAAGAAGCAGCACATGGCAGGCCGAACTAGCGGACCACTTGATGTCCAGAGATTTTTGCAGCTTGCATTGTGCCCTGGGTACATCACTGTGGCAGCTTGATGCCGCTGCTCCGCGCTCTGGTGGCAGATCGCTTGCAGGTCTTCAGCTTTCGTGAGCTTGTGTCTTGTGCGAGCTCCACGCAATTTAAGCCAGCGCTCAGGAGGCTGTCACCACGAGCCTTGCCATCTACACCCTGAGCCTGGCGGTCAGGATCTTGGTTGGCATTCTGTTCTGGTCTGGTTGCCAACGTTTGCGCATGGCTAATCCGCTGATCTGCAAGGATTGGCTTGGTTGCTCGGATCCAACCATGGAGGCTGGTGCTCGCCTTTCTGATGATAAGAAGAGTGCCCAAGGGCCCAGGTGCAGCCGGTACCCTGTTTTAGCCTTTGGGAGACATGATATTGCTTCAAAAGCTTCTTGCCTTGAGCTGAACGGATACAAGCTGCATGCCATGCGTTGGGTGTTCATTTATTATGCCGACAGTTCAGGCCTTGGCGTCTGCCGCGGCGCAGCACAGCAAGGAGGCTGAGCTGAGAAACCAACCTTTCAGCATCATCAGCTCCAAAGTCAATTGTCCAGGCTTTTCTCATTCTAGTTTGTGTGGCACGTGCCCCCTGAAGATGCCTCAAATGATCCAAGCAGTCCGATCGACGGGTGCAGAGGCAGCCGTTGCAAGGGCTTCGCGGCACTTGTTAAAGCTTGCAACCCTTCTTAAGATTGGCCCAGATGCTTAACATTGGCGAGAGAGAGGCTGAGAGCAAAAGCCTGGACTGGGTAAAGTTCTCAGCTTTTGAACCGCACGCTGGCATCATCCTTTGGGGCTGTCGCCGTGCGCGCCGTGCCACCGGGCGGCTACAGGTCTTAAGACGTGGGCTTCTGATTCGAAATGCTGAAGGCATTGAGGTGAGCTGCTTTTCGCTTTGGAGTCCGGTAGGTCAAGTGCGATCCCAACCTGTGCTCTCAGTCTGAATGGAGGCCTTGGCTGCGCACGCTGCCAAAGACACTTGGCGGACTCTCTGTGGGCTGGAGGCTCTGCCAGCTGCTATTCACTGCCTCGTCTGAATTCCTCAGCTTCCGAGACTGAGGCGAGCGGTTCTGCAAAGCCTGCTCCACCCTTAGGCTGTCGATGTTGTCAAAGGAAATGCCGGGCTACTGGTTGAGCAAGGGGTTGAAACAAACCAAAATGGTTGACTATCAAAGGAGTACCTGGTTCCTAAGCAGGATATGAGCTTGTGCTAGGGCTGGGCCTAGGCTCCACCTCGCAGACCAAGATCCAGACGGGCTGAGGCGGACCCTTCAACTCTCTTCCGATGGCATGTGAAATGTGAGTGCGTAGATCCTGCAGGCTCAGTCCTGCGGCGCATGCAGCGATCATGTTGGGAATCCCCGCTCGCGAGGTTCTGGCAGGGTGATGACAAGCAGATTCCTAGCGGGTTGTATTGGGGTAAGGTTTGGGGTTTGGCATACTTTGCTGATAGGAGCTGCTACAGGGACATATTAAGGTCGCCACTTGTTGTTGTGATGGGCGGCAGTACTTTCGGAACATGTTTCGAATGTCGCCTCTTGATTCGTTTGCTTGCGGAATGTGGCTGCAAGAAATCATGTTGATGAGTTGCCTTGCCTACATTCAAAATGGAAGATGAGACAGACCGCAAGGCAACAACTATTTTAAGGCAGGGAGTTGTTTCCTCAAGCAGTGTGCTCGCAGTCTGTTTCTTGCCTTCAATGGGCACGTGGCACGCTCATTCTTGGGGAAGGTGCTCGCGTGGAGCATCTTCAGAAATCGTGTTCTGGGAACTCCTGCCTTGCTTGCTCGTTCGTGGATCTCGCGCTGCCTCGCGCAGCGCCGCGGAATCAACCAGCATGAACAATACCATGAAGTCGGGTGGCTTGGCGCGTGCACGCGCAACTCAAAGCGCGGTGTGCCCTTGGTGACTGACATGCACAACAATTTGGAAAGATGTTTTTGGGGTCCGTTTCAGCAACAATTCAGATGTCACGCGCCGTTTTGGGTTGTTGGAAAAACCGTCTTTGGAAAGCGTGTGTACATGGCGTTGCATAGTTCATGGCGCGACTGAACTTGATGCCTTAAAATGCGGCGTGCTCGACGTGTCTCCGCTTGGAAGAGAAGCCTAGCAGTGACTTGTGACTTGCTGGTAGATCAGCATGCGAGCTACAGGTACATGCTGCCTGGGCCTTGGCCGTGAACGGCATGTCAGCCTTGGCGTCCGGGGAAAGCTTAGGCCTTGCCATCGAAGCTACGATTTGGTGTCTTGACTTGATCAGGTTCCAGACATGCTCCATGATTTCATGTGCCCGCCAGGGAAGGGTGCTCAAAGCCTATTCTTGGATTTGAGGAAAAAGGGCGCGGTGCTCAGTAAAGACGAATAGAGACGAGTTTTACCCTTGGCCTGCATGCTGACCGGGTCCTATGAGGCATTGGGCCAGAAGGTGCTGCAAGGCGACAGCTGTTTTGTGCGGCGAAGACTGAGTCAGATAGCTTTCAGGCTCGAGTTCCCGGGTTCACTTCAAGAGCTTGACTTGGACTTAACCCGCAGGGCGCTCGACCTTGCTTTTTGACATCTGTCGCGTAGCTGTGAACCGAGCGCGTTTGTCTGGCTGCGCTCGTGCTTTCAGCCGTCCTTAGCTGGCACGGCAACTTCTCATGCCCGTCAGCTGTACACGGGTATTAATTAAGTGCGGGACAGTGAGAACATCCATGGAAGAGGTTCAAAAGCCATTTATTGAATTCAAAGTTACATGCTTGGCATCACACTATAGTTCGAGATGGGCACAAGCATGTGGGAAGTGACTGGTGGCGAACAAACTGGCGGCCTGGTTGTGAGAAGTGGTGATGCTTGGCTGCACATGGCGAACTGCTTGGCTTCCGGAGCAGACTATGTGCAAACTTGCAGTTAGAGATTGCAAATTGCGACAGTGATTGCGGTCAGTGGGGGTGACTAGTGCAACAGTTACACTGCGACACGCAATCATGTCATTGCGGAGTGTGCAGCACTGGCACGCATCACTTTGACATTTTCAACGGTCTTCAGCCTCTTGTCAACATGCGCGATCGCAATCAGTTGGTAGCATTTCATTGAAAGTATGGACGGCGCAGGAGCCAAAACAAGCCTCCAGCAGGTCAGCTGGATTGCCAAGCCCTAATCATCGAGAGAATGATCTTTTGGCTCCGAGGCTGACCTCTCCTCGAAAAAATTGGAGGGCAGACTGTCCACAGGAGAGTGCAGACAGGAGCTTAGTGTGGCGTTGGCATGTGCAACTTTTGAGGAGCTAGGGTGCAGCAGCTGGACTTGCAGGGCGACCGCCTGCACTACAGATTGCTGACCGGAGCCGGTCCAGCCGAGGGCTGGGTGTCGCTGAAGCTGAAGGCAGGCTGTCTACTGGCATCTACTGGTAGTGGCCAGTCATAACCCTGCTTTCGGGGAGAAATGGGACAATGCGTGCCTTGGCAGGACAAGCCATTGCTGCAACTGCATCAGGACCTGGTGAGAAAGAATAGCTTGCATCGGTAGGTCTGAACACATAGACTGCTGACATGTTTGAAGTCAAGGAGACGACTCCCAATGGGAGTTTTGATTTAGACAGCCTCTTTGGACCTCTCACTGGGGATGACATCGAGATCATCTCGCTCTCAGAGGACGTACGTGTTCGTATAGCCACGTCGCTTGGCCAATTCTGACGTTCACAGCTCGTTCAAATTAAGACATAAGCATGGCTGCGAGCTGCAGCCATGATGCTGTTGGGCAGGGCTTGTGCGCGGCCTGTACCATGATGCAAATGCTACTGCCAAGGATCAGTGATATTCACGTTGATCAGAAGATCAACATGGAATGGTTTCAGAAGCACTTGCCTCGAAAGGCTGCTGGTCAGTTCAATGTGATGATCCTGCCCGGAGCCTCGCATCATTTTACTGCAGCATTGCAGTATTTCATGTACAGTCGGACCAGATGTCAGGGCGGCTGTGTCTCAACTGAGGAGATGTGTCCGACGATGTGGCAGTCCTCCAGAAAACTTTCAAAATGCTCACTGTGTCTTGTTGCAAACGGCACCAGTTTCTCCAAATCTTAGAAGTGGCCTTCTTCATTACACTTGCTTGCCTCAGAACATCAGACGCTGGATTAAAGGATAGCTTTGACCTGGTGTGCTATACGGCCGGCAACCACGACTTGTGGGTAAGGCAGGGGCAAGCCTCCGGGCGCAGTAGCCGTAGAAAAGCAAGGCATGGAAACGCTGAAGGCGCCCTGGGAGTCCCGACGACTCCCTTACGAAGCTTCGTCAGATCTGTAAGATCTGCGACGCCTTTTCGGTGCGTGTGCGGCCTGTGCATCTCCGCCTGCCCAATGCCCGTGACGTTCTGTGACTGGGCATTTTATTTGGCTGCCTGTGCAATGCTTGGCTTTCAGATGCTCTCAGCCTGCCAAGTAGATGAGACCCAAGGATACTACCCCTGCTTTCCTTCTACGCGTCCGCTTGGGATCAGGAGCCTGACCTCGTTTGGTGTCCACCAGAACAGACGCTCTGAAGAGCAAGAAGCAAAAGAGGGTTCAGTCTCACACATCGAATTCAAAGCATAATCCCGTTCCGACACACATTCAAATCACATTCATTTCGTTGTGGCTGTTGGGCAGCTCGCGCCCGTCAAGGAACTGGGAGCCCCAACCCTCCCGAGCTGTCCTTGCCATGCTTGCCAAGTTTGGAACACTGTTCGGCATGTTCGGGCACTGCAGGAAAGCGATGACTGGTTGGTTGGACTTCCGCATCCTCAAGTGGCCACAGCAGCTGATCGATGAGGTTGTTCGCCGCGAGGGCGAGTTCAAATTTGGAAAAGATGGCACGTCGACGGCTATTAGTGACTCTTGCCGGGAATCTTGAGTGCCAATGCCACTGTGCAAAAGCCGACATGTCTCAGCCAACTGAAGTCAGTTCATCCGTGGTGTGCAGGAAATATTCGCGCAAGCAAACGAGCCGCTGCTGGAGCGGGTTGAAGCTATGAAGCAGAGCAATGGTGGCGATGATGATTTCATTGCCATCTCGTTCTCGCACTACCTGCCCAGACAGGCACGTCGGCACAGCATGTAGATTCGAGGTTTTTCCTGGGGCGTGATCGAATAGAGCCACCAACATGTTTGTCAGCAGGAGCTTTTTCCGGAGAAGCGATTTTTGGTGGACTCCACCTTGCCAAAGGCCGCGCAAATCCTAATCATCCAGCGAGCCCCTTCCCACACTTGTGTTATTGATGGGAGAATATAATTTAAATCCTTGGGGACAATACTAGCGAGATGGTTCAATTCAGCAAAGATGGGACCTACCCAGAAGTCACGACTTGACAGGTTTCGGGTTCGGTTGCCCTCGAGAAACAAATCCGCCGTTTGCAGCCTGAAGTACACATCTTTGGGCACTCGCACCTCACCGTGGACAATGTGGTGGAAGGACAGCGTTATCTGCAATGGGCCCTTGGTTATCCGCAAGAGCAGAAAGGCATGTCTAAAGCTGTTGGCGAGACCGGCATTTTGGTGGTGCGTCCTGGCTTGACCTTGAGTGGGTTTGTCATGTTTGTCCCCGGCTGTAGGCAGCACAAGCCCTTCGTGTTTTCAGACAGGTTTGATTCTGGCGGCGACGAGCCCCACATAGCTCCCATCCAAGAGACGTTCTGGGGAAGGTATTTTGCGAAAGGTGTGCGTGATCCTTCCCAGACTTGTCCTCCACCCTTCCTGCGAGACATGTTCTTGAAAATGTTCGATGTCAAGTCTGGGCCTAAGCTTCTGAGCTTCTTCAGCTTCAGAGATCCGACATGATCCAACAAGATGTTCCACAAGTGCAAAGGCTGCCATTCAGCGACGAGTACTACTTCAAGTCCACGCCAAATCCTGGCCACGCAATCCCAACCTATGAGGGCCTCTACGATCCAAGATGGCGGCTGTAGTGCGTGGCAGGAAAGCGCGTGTGGCTTTGCTACATTCTACTGCGTGAATTCATGAGCTCAGGCATCGTCAGTTTTGTATATAATGCCTCCATGGGCCAAAATGTGGTATTGAGATGTCTCAGGTCAAGGGTTGCAACTTGCAACGCAGATGTTGACCCTTCGCTACGAAGGCTGCATGGGAAGACCCGGAATCTAGCAGCAGTCTTACAGCTGCCTGACCCAGCAAAGCGACATATTGCTCAGCGGCTGCAAGCAGAAGGCAATCGCGTGCCATGCTTCGGCGGAAGCTCAGCTCAGAGCTTGTCCAGATGCAAGAAGTGCGTCCAGGAACAACAGAAGCCGAAGCAGGCCATATAGTAGCACCTGGCATATGCAGACTTGCAGAGCCTTTGCGTTGAATTGCCGCCGTGCATCTGCGCATAAAAGTTGGGCGCTGCTTCTCATTGCAATAGTCTGGAAGCAAAGCGAGTCGAGTCCTGGGCTGGTTGCTTCGCTAAGTGTGCTTTTAGGCTGCGGTCTTCGAGCTGTTGGAGCAGCGGGGCTGCGGTTGCCAAGCACCTTGCTGAGGCTCGAAGACTGCAACCTCCAAATGAGCCATGCGCGTTACTGCCAGCGGGAAACAGGTTGAGGCTCATCCTGCAAAAGTGCGACATTGGCCCCGAAGGTGCCAAGGCACACAAATTGTAATGGTAGGTGACATGCGATGCACGCGTTCTGGCTGCAGGCTTTAGTCCTGCCTCCAACTCTCGAGCGCCTGGAACTCGACCTGTCGCGCCTCGGCCTACGAGATGCAGAGATTCACCTTCACGGTACTAACCACAACCCAATGCATCGTTTTCATGCAGTGAAATGAGAACGGCAGGAGAGATACGTGAACACTTTGCTAAGGCATTGCCTCATAGGTCCGGTGGGCGCTTCAAATCTGCAGGCATGGAGCTTGGGAACAGAGTGGAGTCTCACCCAGGGTCCTATCGAATCGTAAGTGTTGTTTACGTTGGCCACATCATGAATCTGACGAAAGTAAGTGTGGTGCACAGGGCCAATGCTGCAGATATCTGCAGATGCAGGTACTAACACTTCTTCGAGTCAGGAGTTCAGAAGAAGCTGTACAATTCCCTGCTTGGGCACTCCACAGACAAAGGCATATCCAACGTGACATTTCACCATTGAAGGGGCTGTGCTTCTTTCAAAGCGATTGTGACCCCTAAACCCTACCCCAGTCTAACCCTGATACAACGCTGCTGCTTTGCGTGAAGCGGTTGCCGCTGCAGCCCTGCAGGACCAGCTGCTACAGGAGTTGTGTGTTGCCATCCGCTCCAGTCATGGCCGCTCTGTGCTCTCTCGGCGGGCCCTGCTCGCGCCCACTCCAGCCATCGCCGAGGCATGTGCTGCAGATCTTGCCCAGCCTGCCACGGACTAGGGGACTGGCCCTCCACCTGGGCTTGGCCTGATGCAGGCCTCCTCTTCACTTCTGCAGTCTGCATCCTTCCTCCCTCTAGGTTGCAGGTTCTTCTGCTCTGGCACATGCTCTCGCTTCTGCAGCCGGCGTCCGCTTGCGTCTGTCAAGCTCTGCAGCCCTCAACGTCTACTGCCGTAGTAGTCTTGTCCGTTTATTTTCGTGTTTGGCCTGCCGAGCAGAAGTGCTGTGCTGGCATGGCTGAGTCAAAGCCGACCTTGGATCTCATGTGAATGCGCCCTAATATTTTACTCCAGTATTAGATGCTGTTCTGCAGATGCCGCGGGGAATCACGGAGCTCGATCTGAGCCTCCTGCGCTGCGGCATCGGAGACCGTGGTGCCAAGGTGCAAGAAGTATATGGTTTACTATACTCTACTATGTTAAACGAAAATATAGTATACTAGACTAAAATATACTATAATATATTGTGATATACTGTATTATACTATATCATACTATAATATGCTTTCGGCCGTTGCCTGCCTCTAGTACTCTCGTAGGGTGTAGTGTGGTGCAGAATCATGCACCTCGAACCTGGGATGCATATGTAACTTTGCATCAATGACGTGACCGACATGTCTTGCGCGGACCAGAATGCCACCTGATGTGCAAGAGCTTTGCTGTTTTCATGAAAGCAGCCGTGACGGCTGTTCTAGAACGTGACTTGTAGCGTGCTGCCTGGCTCGTCGTCAAGGCCGCAGAGTTGGGCTTGCAAAAAATTGCAGGGCATGGGAACTGTTTGCCAGGTTAGCGTGTCCAGCATAAAGTCTAGAAGGTGCAGCGAAAATGTGCAGCGGGTCCAAGCCCCAAAGGGGGGCATGCAAGACAAGGTAGGATACTTGGGCCGAGTTCGTGATGAGTTTGTTTTTGCTCGCTTACTGTTCTGCATACTTGCCAGCACAGGTCACCGATCTATTTTATGCACAGCTAGCTATTCAAGCCGAGCTTGTTCGGTGGGAATCTGCCCTGTCTCGCAAGTTGAGAGCTTCACATAGTTCAGATCATGCAGAAACGGCGGACCAGCCCCAAGAAATGGTTGATATCGCCTGCATAACTCAGAAATCATGAAAGTGGTGAACCTGGACGAGGAATACAGGCGTTGAAGGCATGCCAGCGTCAAGATATGCAAAGGCCCCACTACTTACTTGTAGTAACAGCAGAAACCTTTTTTTGAAATGAGTGGTTACATGTCCCCAGACCTGATAGGTCATGGGACTGGTATGAAAACAGATCCATTCTGCCAGCTTTTGTGTGAGACACGCCCTTCACAGCAGGGGCTGTCTGAGTCCGATGCATGTCCCGCTTTCATCTGATGATGCTTTGACAATCATTTACAGGAAGGAGTCTCTGGTTTGTTGGGGGCCTGACTGTTTCTGGGATTCTTTACTGTAAAGGCTTTTGCAAGAGCCGGCGCTTGTCTTACGCAAGCGGCCACAGTAGCAGGCACAGCAAAATAGGACTTTCCATTACATTCAGGTAAGCATGTAGCTCTGCAAACTCCACCATTCCCTTCAAATTGTGTGTGTGTGTGTGATGACATGAGTTGGCCTTGCCATGGGTACTCCCGAACGAATGATGCAATCTCATGAATGTCTGATTTGGCGTGCGGAAAGCCCTTGCTTAAGCCTTTAAATGTTGTGTATTTACTTACGCAGAAGTTGGTCAACTTCTCAAACGAAAGCGGGTTAAACGTATCATTTGAAGGCACTCAATGAGGCATGCTGGCCATCTGGAAGAACGAAAGAAAGCAAGCTTCCTGAATCCAGTCGAGACACTGCCCACAGGTGATGCGAATGCCATGGCTGCGACGCTCGCTTCATTTGATGCTTGTGTTGGCTCGGCGCTAGCATGTTGAACTTACCTGCGCAAATATCTTGGCAAGGTGGGTGCGCACTGGCCACATGCTGGATATTGGCTGCAAGTGCCGGATCGGGCACAACTCACGGTGGCGCAACTGACAGCAATGCAACTGACAGCAACACAACCGATGCAACCCACGATACTTCAAGCCATTGCGTAGAGGCCTCAGCCTGTCAAGCCGTCAAGCCCAGTAGCAATATCTCAAACATGCGTGTGTGTCCACGCTTACGAGACGTAAGGAATCGCATATGCCATGGTGGCAGACTGCCAGCGTATGGGAATCTTAGCGGCGTTTCTGGCCCGATGAGGGGCATGCAAGGTAATCACGACAGAAGATGGTAGATTTGGGCACGGGTGAGGAATTCGAGCACTTCGAGGAAATAACTGTGGTTGCTCTTGTTGCTCTCACGCTGCCACCTGGCTGGATGAGCGCCTTCAATGCCCAGCAAGCTTAGAGATCTGAACTGGCCAAACCTGAGGCTGATTGATCTGATAGAGCACAAGGTTGACCACCTGGCAGAGCACTCGCCCGCCACTCCGCCTGCGTTGCGCAGCACTGGCTGTGAGAACTTTGCTTCATCTTCTTGCTCAGGAGTATATTCAGCAGATGCACGGTCGAAAGGACGGGACCAAATCATCATGGATAATGGGTTGCCGACCTACCAGACTTTTCTTCCGGTCAGAGTAAGGATAGAAAGCATTCATCAGAGCCTTAGAGGTTGAAATCCACATCAGGAGAAGGCGGCTCATGATCTCGAGAAGAAGAGTGTTGAGCCGCTTTGGGCCGTCTTTGTAAACCGTGCGACTGCCGAGTTTACTGTCTTGGGCATTCTGGACCTTGGGCAGCATTGATGTTTTGCGACAGCACTGCAGATAAAATCAGATCAGAGCCTGTTTCAATCTGAGGCGGTGATCATTTGGGTGTGCAAGCGCCTGTCTGTCTTTGACGCCATTGAGCTTGCTTTCAAAGATGTTACTGACATTACCCTGCCTTCCACCGCAGAAGACTACCACCACACCACCGAGAGCGTACACATGCAATCCTGCCAAAATTCATGCAGCCGCAACACAGACACCGTTACTCGTCAGCGTAGGCTTTTTCTTGGCTCATAGTAGCAGCGCGAAGGCACTTGTTCCTGAACTTCGCTCTTTACTTCGTGATTGTTGGCCTGAGCTTGGTGAGCGCGCAGCGCCAAATGGCTTCCTGGGCGGTGGCCTGTCTGCATGCTCATTGCAAGGTGGAAGGTGCAACTCCCACACCAGATGCTCCCGGATGCTATTGTGATTGATTGCATGGCTCCTCCCGATTTGACCATGCCATCAGTATCCATCAGCGCCAGTTGGCCAAGCATTCTCGGATTTACGTAGTGGCCCCAGTGGACTTCAGCAACATTGCCAAGACACCAAGCCGTGCAAGATCAAACCCAATTCCTCTTCATAGATCGATTCAGGAAAGAAGCAGGATCTCTAGCAAAAGAGGGCAGGCGGAACTGAAGCTTTGCCCTGCTGACTCCAAAGCTGACTCCAGAGGCATCATCAAAGACCTTCCACGATGAGACTGGCAACACCAAGAAGGTTATTGAGAAGGCTCGATGAACAATAGATTGACATTGGATGAGTAGCCCAAGTACTGCGCAGCGAATGTTGTCTGAAAATCTGCCGGAAGACTTGGATCCTCCAAA